CATTCATTCATTTTCTTGTCAGCTTAGTCACTTTATTAATGTGGGGTCGCCACAGCGGAATGAACCGCCAACTTATCCAGCACATTTTCCTTCCAGCCGCAACCCATCTCTGGGAAACATTCACACACATTCATATCCTACGGACAATTTAGCCTACCCAATTCACCTGTACTGCATGTCTTTAGACTGTGGGGGAATCCGGAGCACCCAGAGGAAACCCACGCGAACACAGGGAGAAACTGCAAACTCCACACAGAACCAGCGACCTTCCTGGTGTGAGGCGACAGCACTACCTACTGCGTCACCATATCTATAGCTTCTTTAATCTTTTTTTTTTTATAATTGTCTTTAAATACTTGATTTTTAGTGTTTGAATTATCTATTTAGTACAGTTATACATGAAGCGCATGTTTTTTGTTTGTTGGGGAATACTTCTATAAAGCATTTAATGAACATTCCTCCAATATTCTGCTATTGACAAAATTAAGAGAGCACTTGAACATTTTCAATTTCTCTGGAGTTTATTGTTATGTGTTTGGGTAAAAGGTTGATATTTGTTTTATACCAGTCGAAAAGAAAATGTGGAGTATTCCACAAAAGATTGATGTCTCCACTATCCTGAAATTGATTTTGTAGTGTCTTAAAAGAAATATAAAGATGTCTGAATTTATTATCATTATATTATTAAAAAATAAACCCTCTAATTCATTTATTCATTCAATTTCTTTTCGGCTTGGTCCCTTTAATAATTAGAGGTCCCCACAGTGGAATGAACCGCCAATTTATCCAGCATATGTTTTACACATTGGATGACCTCCAGCTGCAACCCAGAACTGGGAAACACCCATACACTCTCACATTCACACCCATACACTACAGCCAATTTAGTTTATTCAGTTCACCTATAGTGCATGTCTTTAAGCTGTAGGGGAAACCAGAGCACCCGGTGGAAACCCATGCGAAAAGAGGGAGAACATGCAAACTCCACACAGAAATGCCAACTGAACCAACCATGCCTCAAACCAGCAACTTTCTTGTTGTAAGGTGACAGTGATAACGACTGAGCCACCATGCCGCCCTTTTACATATTCACAAAAATAAATTCAAAGAGCATAGCAGACACTTGACTTTAAATACTTAGCATTTATTTAATGTGCTTCCTATATTTCTCAATAGACACAATCAAGAGAGCACATTCTTAGTTTGTCTGGATTTACTAGTTATGTGTTTGGGTAAAATGGTAATATTTGTGTTATTCTAGTGAGATAACTGCTTCCATTTTTTAAATATTCTCATGTAGAGCATTAAATAAAAGAAAAACTGTATTATTCCACAAAGTACTGATTACTTCACTCTTTTTTATTTGAAATATGTCTGATTTCTGTTATTATTATTTCATGCAAAAATAAACCCTCTATTTTTACTATAAATTTCAGTAGATTACAGCATAAAATATGTTCTACACAAATGCTTAAATTCAAATCTGTATATAAAATCACTTTTGTTTATTTAATTTGATGCCGGTAACAAAATGGGACACATGCAAGATCAAGCAGAACAATAGTTTATTGTATGTGGCGCTCTCTGTGTGCTAGTAAAGGTATGTGTTACCCAGCTGTATTCCTTTGCCTTACAGCTCCATTGTCCACCACACAGGACCCTTGGGGCTAATTATGACAATTTACTGTGCCTTTTGTTGATATTATTTACTAATTTTGCTCCCTCCCTATGGTGGAGATCGGAAACGGTTCTTTTTTCTGCCTTGAGTTTACCGGCCTATTTATTTCCCCCACTTAATAACTTCATAAACTTTTAATTCATGTTATAAATATTATCATTAATAAAGCCAATATTCTTCAAACCACACCCTACTCAGTTTTCCAACAAGTTCACAATCCCTCTCCCCCATTGGAATTTAGACATTTTTCATGATCGTCACCAATATCTAGACTCTAGTCATTGCTTTAGTTGACCTAATTTCTTGTTCTTCCTGGTTGTTCCTTTATCTGGGATTGGTGTGTTTTGAAATCTACAATGCCTCAGCTTTAAGTAGAGCTCTGACTTGTGGCCCTTCATCCGTTTTTTCCTGCCATCATCCCTCTCTCTTTCTCTCTCTCTCTCTTTCTCTTCTTCTGGCCGTGCTGCATGGCCTCTCGTCCCCATCCCCCAACTACACACTCTGTTATGATCCCTGTATTCTGTGATCCCATGCTCCTCTCCCCCCCTCACTAGACCAGCTCTATGAATCAGCCACAGGGAGAGACGGAAACCATTCTGCGGTTAGGGTTATATTTATGGCTGGAAGCACATGTGCAGTAGGGCAAAAAAATAAAAAAAATAAAATAACTGGTCACAGTCAAGGGAAATTTTGGTTCAACATGCTAGTAAAAATATGCATTTTAAAACCAAGTGCTTTTAGTGTTGAGAGTTTGATTTTACGTTGGGTGGATTTAGCATGATGAATAGGTGTTTTTCAAAGTTGTAGCATACTTTTTGATTGTATTTTTTTAGGCTGGGTTAATAGATTTCTCAGAGTGAAATTGGGCAGTGTGAGTCAGGAGGAATATTACTTGTTTTAAAGTGCATGTAGTACATATATTCAGTTCTGGATACTGGTTGGCTATCCATCCTAAGGTAAATTTAGTGTTACGTGACGCTTGCATAATTAAAAAAAAAAATTATTAGTCATGTTAATGCAATTTGGGAATAAAAATGGACAAACCCAACTGCAGAATGATGGAAAATTTAACAAATGGACAAACCCAACTTTGTTAAATTTTCCATCATTCTGGAGTTAAAACACTAAATCATGATTATTTGTGACTCTGGACCACAAAACCAGTCTCAGGTTCGCACAGGAGGTTTGGCCAGGGGAAAAATGGTCATGCCCAACTGAGCCTGGTTTCTCGCAAAATTTTTTCCCTTCACTTTTGTCTATTGGTAAAGTTGCTTAGTTTTGGGACTTGAGAAGCTACGCATCGGTGGACTGCTCTTCAATGTTTGGTTTTTCAGCAGTGAAAATTAAACCACACTGAACTGAACTAAACTGAACTTCAACTCTGAAAACTGGACTGACACAGTTTCAATTTACTAGAACGTCTGTGTTAAGCTGCTTTCACACAATCTACATTGTAAAAGCGCTATAGAAATAAAGATAAATTGAATATTACATAGGTATGTTTTTGCCAATAGCTAGGGCCAGACGAAATCTGCGGACATTTTTGCTATTTCTGGGCAGAATTTTGGTAAAATTTGGTAAAAATTTGGTAATTTTTTATTTTATTTTAGTTAATAATATTAATGACATTAATTAAAAAACTAAATAAATATGAATTTACACACATTTAAACGAGTAATAAACAGACTTAATGATCAACTAAAAATCTGCCGAATTCTGCGCACAAGTTCTGTGTGGGCCTACCAATAGCCACAAATACATTGTATAGGTCAAAATCATTTTTCTTTTATGCGAAATAACAAAAATAATAATTGAGTATTAAGATCTTAGTCCATAAATACATTTTAAAAATTTCCTACTGTAAATATATCAAAACATGTATATTTTTAAAAGCATATATCTCTACACCCTAAAAAATACTGGGTTGTTTTTTAACCCAAATGCTGGGTTGAAGACTACTAGGTATAAAAAAGTTTGGTTAATTTAACCCAATTTGGGTTGAAAATCGGTGTAGATCTATAACCCAGCATGTTGGGAACATATATATATGTGAAAGAGGGAACTCACATCATGGAAGCATCCAGGGACTTCGGCAAGAGAAACTGCTGTTTTCTTTGCACCGTCTATAGAGGGAATCAAGTGAAACTATGTCTGAGAAGTAAGTTATTTAATGTGTATTTAACAATTTTCATAAGAAATAACATATTTAGTTTACTATATATATATATATATATATATATATATATATATATATATATATACATATACACATGTTTTAAAACAACTAAGTGACAGCCATGTATTTAATTTGGACAACTTAAAAGGTAATTTTCTCAATATCTAGGTCTTTTTATTTTTAATTTTTTTTAGATTTTAAAATAACAAAACTTATACAAACTTATTTTTGTAGATAAAGCTCAAATACAGGACTGTCCTGGGAAAAACAAGACATATAGTCACTCTATATTAAAACTAAAAATTGGATAATTTTGTGTCATATTTGGACAGATGTAGTTTTTTTTTTTTTTTTTACTGTTATAACTACTGTTCATTTATCTGTTATACTAAATATCATTCTTATAAAAGATAACAATGGTTTTACTACAAATAATACCTAAATAAAAAGCTATTTCAGCTTAATCATATAAATAACAAAGCATCGTTTTGGGACTCTAAATATTTTAACAAAGGCATTTGTTGTAAAACTTTGGTTATACAAATAGTAATCAATATGACAGGGTTAAAAAAACATGGTTACTACATTTTTACTACAATAAACCAAGGTTCACTTTCATAAGTGTAGCCGCCTTCTGTTTGAGGGATTGTTACTGGATCAGTAAAGACAGACATCAATCATATAATGCTTACAACGTAGCTTGGCCAAGTATTTCCTGTGTCTAAGATTGAGTTACAAAGTAATAGTTACTTCAGCCCCCAGTAGTGTCTTTTCAATACAAACCGAAAGAGTAAACTCGTAGGCCGTCACACAAATTGTTTTATGGTTACAACTGTCAAGTAACCAAAAATGCGGTGTGTAAATAAATGAAAACACGTCAAATTATGAACACTCTAAGCGATAAAACGAGCGGGCGTCCACGTTAACCAGACTAATAAAATGATGTCACGCAGGCTGTGCTCTAGCCCCTTCAGTCAGCCTCACTGAACACACAGCGTTCGTCACGAAAGGGGCGGGTCTCGTGCGAAAATACGCATGGCCATTGGCCATGCTACCTGCCTGTCACTTTCTGTCGCCTTTTTATTGGCTACTAGCGTGCGGGTTTATCTCTCCATCTCTCGCAGCTCTTGTATAAATGCCGCTTACTTTTCTTCCATCGGCCTCCGCCGGAAATTATAGTTCCTATTATCAATTCCTTTTTTCCCTCAAAGCCGATCTATTCAGTCTTGACTGACAAATGACCAATGACCGCTGTGTGCGTCCCGACTCATCAGTGCATTTTAATCCGTAGACCTTATCGAAATAACTCTTGACTCCCCTGGGCACATGAAACTGGACACCCGAGCGTTTGAGGCCCCTCTTTCCATGCGGAGGAATACATTGTTGCTGCTCACAATGTGGATGGAGGTGGTCAAGATGTCTACTAGAAGAATGAATTCACCTCAATTGTAACAACATAAAGGAAGTCGTGGCGCGGGATTGTTTGGATACAGACCTGCAACATTGTATTAATGACGTTGGTGTTTTGGAGGAGGATGTCAAAGGAGAAATAACACATTGTTGCGCCTATCAGCCTTTAATGCGCCGTGCTTCAAATTCTTTCAAGTTTTATGGTTTTTCCCTGCGAGGCTGAACCTTTCTTTTTTACTACTGGATGTAAGACAACTGATAAACTGAGGTAAGGCTTTTTTTGCCTGTTTGTGGCGTTTTATCGGGTTACCAAGTAGAATAATTTAGGTCTCGTATTTACATCATACAAGTCACATAATTGCATATTGAAGTTCCATTTAGCAAGTTTTTGGGATGTCTGCTTATGGAAGTGGGGGGATGCAGAGTTTTTTTTTTTTTTTTTTTGCTTAGTGGCTGTGGTGGTGGTGGGAAGTCCTGCCCAGTTTTGTGCTGGTGGTCTTTAACCCAGTTCTATCCTAACAGAAATGACTCCTTTGTCCTTTTATCAAAGTAAGGATTAGTTTTGTGTGGCGCTTATGAGTTTAACTGTCTGGTTAAGAGCGAGAGCTGTCAGTGCAAATTAAATATACAAATTAACAGCGATTGAAAGTTACTTTAATTTGTTGGACTTGTGAAAACTACCTATTAGACTCACGCAGCGAGTTGAGAGTGTGTTGTAGCATCCATGTTTGCTTTTCACGCTGAATTCGGTTACTTTGTTGAATATTTTTGGCAGGAAATTCCTCGTGCCCCTCACCCCACTCGCCTTCATCAAATCGCGAGTCTCTTGAGGAAAAGTTGACATTTTGTCGCGGCACTTTATTAACTTTAGCTTTATCCCAAGCTAGACTTGTACGTTTATCGCACAACACACGAATAATTGAGAATTATCGACTCGACGTCTGGTTAATAATGATAATTGCCAATAATATTATCAAAATGATGCGCGCGCGATCGATGTGGCCTTATCGCTTTTCGAAATGGTTAGCTATCGGAATACAATAAGTTTACAACTGAGAATAAATATTGACATTGTTCATGTCTGGGTAAAGCTTAGCCCTACTTGCACAAAGAAAGGGACGTGACTGAACACTACTTTAAATCCGTCGTCTCGCGTTCAATATTGGAAATTGATCTTAAATAGACGTTTTCGCGTTGTATTTCCTATGCTTTTATACATAACGTGGATTATTTCGGGCCCATTAATTTGGTGGTTAGTGGTAACACTGTTGCGCTCTCTTACAACTAACCACCAATGGCTGCAGTGATACCAGGCTAAAGATACGATGTTATCGTACGACAACGAAATACGTTTTATACGCCTGTTTTGCCTGGTTTTCGGTGTCACCTCATCCTTTTCTCTTTACTGTGTGTATGTGTGTGTGTGTGTGTGTGTGTGTGTGTGTGTGAGATATAAACCCCAGTTAGGGGAAATGTGTTGTATAGAGTAACAATTCTGATAGTTTCTTAACAATGAATTTATTTGAATGTTTTTCATTAAAAAAAGCATTTGGAACTAAAGCATTGTAGATCTTATTGTATGTGGTCCTCTCGCAAATTATGCGACAAATTTTGATTATTTCACGTGGTAGAGCCTGTAAAATAAATAGCTAACGAACATGTGTTCACATAGATGCCTTTTTAACTGAATTCTAGATTCACATTTAGATGTTTTTTTTTTTTGCCTCTAATGAAAAACCATTAGTAAACAAACAAACAAAAAAGGCAAGCCACTGACTACAACGTCAAGGCCTAGCTTGTGCACGTTGTCATACTAACAGCCTGTCATTATTTAAGTCATGGGTTCATTGAAATTTAAACTAAACGAAAGATAATCGAAATATAGTGGGGTTCAATAAACTATAGATATTTCATGAAGAGAAAAAAAGATAGTAGTTGCTTTGATCAGCTACACAGAACCGGTTAATAAGAGTCATTCGTTCTAAAATAGAATTAAACTGGAGGTTCTGTGTTTTGAATCGCTAAAAGGAATCGGCTCATAGAATCATTGGTTCAGAATGGTCGGGCTTTAAACGTTGAAATGGCTCAATAAATAACAGGTAATTCTATCAGATCTTAAAGTTCCAAAAGAACCGCACGTCATAAATAATCCCGTTCCATTTCTTAGAAATATATAAAAGGTGTTTGACGATTTGTGACCCTCCTCACGACAACCAGCAGGGCTTTTCATATCAGTTAAAACCAATTTCATTTCTGTTTTATCTGAGACATTATACAAGAATCTCACCAATATTATGCAATTTATTTTGCAGTGTTCCTAAGCTTTTTAGGGGGGTTGGCATAGACTTGAGGAGAATTTCTAGGCCCTCTGTTTCTTTATTCTTTTCTTACTGAGGGACCACTTTGTATTTTTCGTTTAGCTGTTTTTGTTTGGGAGTCAAAAAGCAGCAGGGAATAAAATGTACTTGCAAGGTGTAAAATCACTTATTTTAGCTATTGGCTTGCGATAGTGTTATCAGGCAGTTGAGGAAAAACTAATGGCTAATAAAAAGGACTGCTAAAGTACACCACCTGTTGGCATGTAATAGCATACATGACTTCTTAAGATGTCTCTGTGAAAAGTTTTTAAGCAGTCTCGTATTAGAACAAGTATTAAAACCTTTCACTTCCATTGGAGTTGTTGAAATCTTTTCCACCTTGTTTCATGGTATCCTTTAATGCAAAACAACTGGCCAGATAACTATAAATCAAACACAGGATGGAGATGTTCAATAAGTTAAGAACATTGATTTGCATGTTCCATGTGCAGCTATCAGGGTTTCATGGAAACTTATTGACTGGTAAAAATATTTAGTTTCCCTGCTGTCCCGGTGTTGTGTAACAGTGATATTAGTAAGAGTATTTGATAGATGATCTGGATTGTAGTTTTTTTAATAGCCATATTGTTGTATTATTACTAATTGTTGTGTGTAAAACTGGATGTCAACACCAAGTTAGTTATTAGGCCCAGATGGAATCTGTGCATGCATAAATCCACAGAACACTATATACATAGAATATATTTGTTTTTAACAAGTTTTCATATTAATTATTGTTAATTTTATGGAATAATATGCAATTGTTTCAATTATGTATGAAATATACAGTATGTAAAGTAATATTTTCTGTTATTTTGTGGAAATATTAAAGAAGTCTAATGTAGTAGTTGTTTTTAACCAAACAAGTGGTTCTAATTTGATATGCGTTGTAAACCTTAAATAAATAGAAAGTAGTTATATATTTTTAGCATAAATAGCAAATAAAATCTGCAGTTTCTGTCTGGGCCTAGTTAATAAGCAAGTTTTACATTTAAGATTGAATTCTTGGACACATAATAACTTGGCACTAGTGTTTTGTGAAACCTCCTGAAGCAATGCATAGTTAATTTAATTTGATCCCGTTTTTCATTTGTCAAATTAAATGTGGGCCATGAAAATGCTGGTAACACTCTTTTGAGATGAAAAAGTACAGTGCGCGTCCACTCCTATCTACAATTCTATAGGATGAAACTCGGCTTGCTGTTCATCACTGCTTTTCCCATTTATCTGGTCTTTAGATAGCTAAACCCATCTGTGGTTTTCTCCTGCAGGGTTCTTTAAAAACCGAGGGGTATGAACGAGCCACACCAGAGAATGGCCACAGTGGAAACAGATAAGGAACTCAGTGACCTGTTGGATTTCAGTGCGGTAAGGAAGTGTCACTGATCTGGACAAAAACTCTCTCGTAAAGAACTGCTTTATGATTTCGAATTGCATCATTCTCTTCCACAAAACTTGACCTTGTAGTCAGAGGTAAGCCGTTTTTCTTTGGGACTGATCGAATGTAATGTCACAATGCTGATTGTATGAGAGTGCTGTTGTCGGCTATAAACCTTATAATGGATCATTAAATCAGATGCAATCCTCCGACTTGGGTCCTGTCTGCCATTTGAAATGTCTTTGGCATAATAACCATCACTCAGTCTTCTCTAATTTGAGCATCTCTGTATTTTTTTCCTTCCTTATCCCTCCATTTGTTGTTCTTATTTCACCTGTTCTTAAAATGTGATTATTCTTGGCGGTCATGCCATCCTAAAGAGCATTAAAAAAGCAGTGAAAATAAAAATGTTAATCGCTTGATTCATTGAACGGCCCAACCATGCTTAATTTATTGCATTGGAAAATTGCCATCTACTGAAGCAGTGAATCAATTATGACAATACATTGATAATCAGACGTGCCAGACCAAATGCATTATGATCTCACATCTAATTACAAATTGTTGATGGTTTAGTTACTCCGTCGCACTGCATTCATTTTCCAGCTTTGAACCTTTGGTGAAAATCAAAGGATTTGCAGATTATGCATTCAGGATCTTCTTTCTCGAGGTGTTGCACGTTGTGAAAAATGTCTACCACACCAGAAAGTCCCTCCCATGCACCATGCAAGGCTAGCGCTGTTGCTGCTAACAGGTTTCTCTTTGCACATGAAAAACAAAGAGACACCATCTAGCCACGTAAACTGGTCCTCTTTAGCCCTGTTTTGTTGCTGTGAAATGCTGAATTCTTTGTAGCACAAGACAAGGATGCATCTTGAAAGTGCCATGCTAGTTAGTTACTTTCATTTAATGGGTTAACTTTGGAGAATATGACGTGACTTTTGGCATTAAACTTTGCTGAATGTCACAAACTGAATTCCAAGTAATGCTGTGTAATCGATCGGTCTTGTTTTGACGTGAGTTTGTCGTAATGTGCTTGTGTGCTTCAACTCGACTTCTGAATCTTTTCTGTCCCAGATGTTTGCCCCCCCTGTGGCCAATGGGAAGAACAGACCAACCACACTTGCTAGCAGTCAATTTGGTGGTACAGGTAAGGCTTTGCTATTAAATCATACTTTTTTTTTAACAGTTTAGTATTATTTGTGGATTTTTATGAGTTTAAATGGGTGCTTTTTGCAGCAGTGTTTGGGCTAGTTGCTAAGTGCTCGCTCCTCTCAACACAGGAAAAGGACATGCTTCTTCTTGTTTTCTTAAACCCCCTCTTTTATGAATACACCATCGTGTATCCAAAGTCAAAGCTTGGGGCAGTTTGGATTTCTTTGAACCGGTTGTTGAGTTGAAGCACCTTTTGCACAAACTTGTACATCGTAAAAACTTTGTTAGGTCAAGTGGAGGAAGTGATTGCTCTTCATAATCATACTTTGGTCCAGAATCCCAAAACAATTGTCAAAAGTGTGTATTTTGCTTTGTTTGTCATCTCTTTTTTTCATCTTTATAACCAGTTGCACATCCCACTCTTCAGTGTTATTTTTGCTCCCATTGTTGGCTCGTGTTGCTTCAGTTAAGATTGTTTTAGAAGTTGTCAAAGGCTCATACGATTCTCTTTAAGGCTTTCCAGTCTGTCTGTCTGTCTCCCAATCGACACTCCAAACATTACCCTTAAATAAGAACAATCTGAGAACAAAGACTTAAATAAAGGCCTTACGGTCTCCAAACGATTCCCCCACCCCACCGTGTAAAACACTCCTCCCCCCACACAAGAAAACACTTTCTCCCCCTGCCAACTGACAGGAAATGGACCCACTCTGAAACAAAGCTCTCTCATACCTCCCACCACCCCGCAGGAGGCCCGCATGAAAACAGCAAAAGAAACACTGTGAAAGATCACCAGCTTCCATCTCGGTCTGTGGCGGCCTAAAGTGCCAATTACATAGCAGGGCCAAGCTAATGTCTCAGTTTGAGATTTTTATTGCGAGTGCTACCTGACACCGAGGTGACCCTGACTCTTAAATCTGTCACTTGTGAGATGCTTCGAGAAGGTCTTCACATCCGTCAACATAAACCTTAGCCTGTGAACTGCGTATAGCAGGATATGACATGTTAGATAACTATTGAGAAACTAAGGTTGGAGGGATGGTTCACTTTTAAAGTAACTATTAAAAGAATTCCGTTTAAGTGCTGTAAGCCTCATTTGATGACATGTTCTCGATCACTACAGAAAAAAAGTTTCTCTGTTCTTTTTGAAAGAAACACCTTGGGGGTTTAAAATCACTTGGTGTATTATTTGAGCTGTAAAGTTGTCGTTTTGTGTTGAGAATACACCTCCAGACAGATTAACCTTTAGTTTTGAGTGTAATTTATGTGTTTGAAATATTCAGTTTAAAAAGTTTGATCAAATTATACTGGTTTTTAATAGGAACTGCAAGTATTTTTGAACAAGCATTTGTGTCTTGTTTTAATCTCAATTGTATGTTAACATTTAATAGGTTATCTTGATCTGTTTTTGTTGTATTTTACTTTTAAAGTCATAAGTAGGCCCACATGGAATCTGCATGTGTACAAATCTGCAGAGTTTTGGCCCATCATTGAGGCTATGTATTTACCTGTGTAAATGTGTGTAAATTTAGGGCTGGGTCAATAATCGATATTATATCTAATCGAAATAATTTATGTCAGTAACTCTGGACTCTGGATAAGTTCTGGACTTTATTTTTTACTCTATATTGATCTAAGAGCCAATCACACAGCAGAAATGTGCAACTATGGGAATCTAAAAGTGTGTCGATATTAGAGATGTATCAAATTTTAGCCACTAAAAATTTATCGGCCAAAAATATGTTATGCCATTTAATGGACCCTTTAATTTTTGTGGCTTCAGTCTAGGCATGGGTCGATAACCCTGTTCAAGGAATAATGTGGTTTGAAAAAGTCAAGGTTTTAAAACCGTCAAAATTTTCTGCTGTACCGTTCCTAAGTCCCCTGCCTACTTCAGTCATTGTTGGGATACTCTTTTAAATCTGGAAGAATTAACAACTGATATCAAAATATATACTTTTGTTGTTCAATATAGTAAATGATTATTGAGGTTGCATCAGGTTCCATATCACCCAGCCCTATACAAATTTATATTTATTCAGTTTTTAAATTAATTTTACTAATATTCTTGTGATATAATAATAGTAATATTAAACTGTCCATGTGATTTATTTTCCCAGTGATGGGTTGCGGCTGGAAGAGAATCCGCTGCATAAAACATATGCTGGATAAGTTGGCGGTTAATTCCGCTGTGGCGATCCCAGATTAATAAAAGGACTAAGCCGAAAAGAAAATGAATGAATGAATGTGATTTTATTTACAATACAGTTTGTAAAGTAATATGTTCTGTCTTTTTAGTAGATATAATATATGAGAGACTTTGTGTTTATCAAATAAGTGGATCTAATTGGATTTGCATTGTAAACATTAATTAAAAGTAAAAAATTTATTATTTTTGATTTCATATATTACGTTTGTAGTTATGATACTCTTAAAATCATTCCACATAAATCTGCAGATTTTTTACAAAATTCTCAGCAGAAATGTCCGCAGATTCTGTCTGGCTCTGGTCATAAGTGACAAATATATTATTTTCTGTGGTTATATCAGAAGTGCTGCTTTATCGAACCCAAAAATGAAAGTTGTCTACTCACACTTCTTCAATGGGTTTGAAACCCATTTGATTTCTTTCCTGTGTAGTAGTAAGGGATGCAACGATTAACTGATTTCACTATTTACTGCGTTTTAATTTGTCACAGTTGATTAATCATAAAGGCTTCTAAACATCGCTTTTCTGCATGGATTAAAACTGCTGCAACTAAACAAAGATATGCCAACTGTGCGCTATTTTTGAGCTTATACACAATATGCACACACATTGGATTAAAGGCTGAGTTTAACTATGGCTGAGGCTATTACTAAAAAGGGCCCTTCACATACCTAGTCTTTTGCAAACTAGTTTAAAGAGAAATACCTTATATGTAGCTTAGATACTTTATATGTAGCTTAGATTTACACTAGACAAATACTATTTTATATTTGTACTTATTGATTCACTGTTTTGTCATTTATTTTCAGTGTAAAATTATTACGTATGTCTAAATGCCAAAAACCCTTTCCACTTATTTTTAAGTCTGAAGAGAAGTGGAACATTGTTTTTTTTTTATTTTTTATTTATTATTATTTTGTGCTGTATCAATTGGTAACTAAGCAGCAATAAATAACACTTTAAAACTATAAGGAGTTTTCCTGCGATTTAACTAAACTAGTAGTGTTTTTAAATCAATAACTGCGTAATAATCGTGATAACCATGAATATTTCTCCGACTATAATCGTACAACCAAAATCTGTAACCGTTGTATTCCTAGTAGTAGTAGTAAACTTTTATTGTCTCTCACAGGACATTTGTTATGACCATAATCCTGAAGACTTTCCGTAAAACAAACAATACAAAATACAGTAGTTACAATAATTATAATGCTAATTAAGATTTTAACACTTTTAACACTTAACACTTTTGTTAAATAAACCCACTGAAACTGGTACAAAAGATTTCTTATATCGGTTCAACCTACACTTAAGGACTCTATATCTTTTACCGGTGGGAAGCAGTTCATAATGTTGAAACAAAAAGTGTTGAATTAAAAAGAAGCTATTTTCGAAAATGCTGGATGCTTTAACTTGCATAGTTTTTTGGAAGTCGATGAGTGCTCGTAAACGGTATTTAAGAACACAACACAAGAAAGTTCATTTTCATTTTTGAGTGAACCATCCCTTTAAAGATCGCAAAATATAAAATGTGATCATAAGTTAAACATTTCCCCTAATTTTTCCAGCGTTAAACTGCAATTAGCAAGGACCTAAACTTCTGACCGTCCCCCACGGTTCAAGCTAAAAATCCACAAAGTAAGGACCTGTTTAGAGTAAGCAGTGGCCTTCAGAAGTGCATCTGTTCCTCAAGACAAAAGTGCTCGGAAGGGTGCTAATTGCATTAAAGCATCTCCTCCCCCATCTTTGGGCATAGCCGTGGTGTTTGTGGGATTTTTTTTTGCATAGGAGGACTTTACCAGGCGTCCTCTCGCTCACCTCCACAGCTGCCCAACACGTCACCCATTGAGGACAGCGTTAGGACAGGACAGAGCCCATTTCCCCATCACACCCCTAACATGGAAGCACATTCTCTCTCTTACACACACACACACCTCGGGACTTTATGACTTCACTTTTGATATCTGCTGCGATCTGAACTTGAATAATGCCATGCTGTGTAGTTGATGTATTTGAAGGAGTGTATAAAGGAAATGATCTTTCCTCAACGCAGGAAATGGAATCGGTTCCTGCTTGACTGAATGTCATAATTGTCTCTGTAGAATTGCATTTTGATGGTTCCAGCTTACAAAAAAAAATGCATCCACAAACAAAGCTAGTCCATATAGACAAAGCCAAATTTGCCAGAATAAGCACCCGTTTAGTTTGCTAATGTGACCGTTTATTTTAAAAATACAGTCTTGCTGACAAATTCAATTCAAAACCATTCGCCATGTTAAACATCTTATGTGCTTCTTGTGCATCTGAATCTGTATCTCTGCCACTTCATTTTCCCCACATAAGATGATTCTGCCAGGGAGATTCTTTCACTCACTCAGTCAGTGCCCACTTCATTTCCCATGCTGCCTGCGTGGGCTCCATAGATCACGGCTGTCAGCGTGGATGTCGCTATTTGCTCTGCTTTGTTAGCTTCATCACTCATGCTCAGCCTTCAGTGGCCGCTCTGGCTGAGACCCCCTCTTCTCTCACACATTTTTAATTAGACCTCCAAAAAAAATCAAAAGGAGAATATGAATATTCATAAACCAACTGCATTAATATGCACAATTATGCAAATCAGCACGCAATTAAGCCATGTGTCTTTGGAGAGCTTTGCATTAAGGCATAAGACAGGAGGCAGAGGGGAATGCTTTATGAGGAATTTCTGCTCCAGTACACATGAAACATTCCCGCAATATTTTTGAATATCCATATTTCTACATATAAATATATTAATGCCGGTGAGGATAAACCTTTTTAACACTTTACATCCTGTAGGTCCTTGTACTGAGACCTGTGTTGTCCCTGTGGCTCTCCGTTCCCAATTGTACAATGATGCTAATTTCGCAATTCTTTGATCAGCCTGTTTTTGTTCTGCTTGCCGTGATACCCCCCCATCCCCAACTTGTCTTAATGAGATCCAGTGACTGAATGAATGCTCCCTTTATGGTCAGTGATGTTGAAGCTTGCTGAATGACATGGATATTAGTGTGGTGTGATGGTTTTGGATTAGATCCAGAAGCTGTCTGACAAGCACCGAGAACCAGCCGGCAAACGTCCGATGGCCTTAATGCATGAACGGAGTATTAAGAAGGATCTTGATGTGAAGGTTTAGCACATGCCAAAATTGCAGATTTGGACTGACAACTTGTGATCAATTGGTTTGCAGGAATGGAAGAACGCAGTAGTCCTTGGGCTGCCGGAGATCAAAACAGTCCATCTTTTAACCAGGTACGGGTAGACCCTACTGGAAGCAAATAAGGCTGCCTAAAGGTGTTGAGGCATGTTTTATAGTTTTGTCTTGGCTTTTCCAGAACTATGGAGAGGGCCCACACTATAATGAGCATGAAGGACTATCTTCCCCATTCCTTGGGACAGGGATTAGTGGTGAGTTTTGCAAATGTTTAGTTGAAGAATTGTTCATTAATCTTTTTTTTTTAACTTTATTCAAAATGCTCAAGTGTTGAGATATTGTTTATAACGCCCACCATTCTTTAAACTTGTAGGTAAAAACGAAAGAGGTCCTTACTCTTCCTTTGGGGGACAGGTTAGTTCAATAATCCTAAATGAATCTTTTAAAAGGCTTTACTTGACTTGCTTGAGACTCTCCTCCTACATTTAACTGATATCCTCTATCCTGTTGTTCCCTACAGCCGGGATTCCTGCCCTCAGACATTGCCATACCTTCTGCAGATGCCATGTCCCCATCTGGACTGAAGTCTGGCTCACAGTTTTACCCATCATACGCAAACAATCCCCGAAGACGCCCCTCAGATGGAGGCATGGGTAAAGAATTTACAACATAAACTTGACTTGCATCAGGTCTGTCAAAATTAAATGAAAAATGACTACATCTTTTAAAATCTTTTCACAGATCCCCAACCACAAAAAAAGATCAGGAAGCCACCAGGACTGCCATCTTCCGTGAGTGACCTTTCATTCTTATTTGCTTCCATCATAATTCTTTAATTACAAACTTGAATTTAAGAGCAGAATTGTCAGGTATTACATGTGGACGGTCATATTCCATCGCACAAATAATTTTTAACTAGTACTGCTAAATGATTAATTTAATCTAAATAAAAATTCCTATTTACAAACTTGCACAATATACAGTGCTCAGCATATATGAGTACACCCCATTTTGAAAATGAATATTTTTATCCATTCCTCTGTGAATATGGGTAATGTATATTTTTGCATTTAAACAAAACAGATTTATTAAACATATATATTTGTTAAAATAATATTTTAGTCACAGAACTTCTGTAGAAATGGAAAGATAAAACATTTAAATTCATACAAAATGTCACAAAAAAATTACAAACTACAACATTTCAACAAAATTGTATATTTTTTTTGTTTCTGTTGATTTTTGCCATCTTGAAATTTGAACATCAATTTGGGCTGCTAGTTTTTAAACCATTATTGTAAGTTATTTTGTTAGATAAGCTCCAGATTTGACTTCAGTACTGACTAAAGTAATGTATATGCACAAATATAATATTATAAAGCATCCAATAGAAAATATTAATTTAAATGAGAGATTTGTACTTGTATATGATGAATACTGTATGTGTGTTTTCTCTGTATATAATTATAAAGGTATTTGCATTTAGTAATTTAGTAGATGTGTTTATCCAAAATGGAGGATAATAGAAGATCACCAGAGAGCAGTGATTATTCATTTATTCATTTTCTTTTCGGCATAGTTTATTTCAGCACATGTTTTACGCAGTGGATGCCCTTTCAGCTGCAACCCATCTCTGGGAAACATCCATTCACATTCACACTCATACAATACGGACTTTATTAATTTAGCTTACCTAATTCACCTGTACCGCATGTCTTTGGACTATGGGGGAAGCCGGAGCACCCGGAGGAAACCCACGCGAACTCTGGAAGAACATGCAAACTTCACACAGAAATGCCAACTGATTAAGCTGAGGCTCGAACCAGCGACCTTTTTGCTGTGAGGCGACAGAACTACCTACTGCATCACCGCGTTACTCTGTGCAGCGATTTTAAATATTAGTCAAAAAAGACTTGAGTTGGTTTAGCTATTTAAAATAATAATAACACAATATATATGCAGAGTAATCATTAATTATTAAATTACAAACCTTTTATTTTGAATGCAGTGTAATATATTGAAAGCACTGCTTCTAGCGGAGTACCTTAATGTAAGTCAGGTATGCTGGAAGATGGCCCACCAACAGTACGATTGTACATTTTGACTTTGGATTAAACTTGGTATAAATCTATTTACGTTGACATGAACGCGAAAGAAAAAATAAAGAGGTTCTACTGCTGTCAGTAGATTAGCTATCATTGAAGGCACATCCTTCCAAAAAAATTCCTGTGAAAAGTCCTTTGATTAAACAGACTGTATGCATTTTCATTTGCGTCAAAATAAAGAGATGTCAGCCATGACTAAGGTCCATTATCTTTTTAAACCTTTGACCATTCCAAGTTGACGTTAACTTAAGCAAACATGAAAGCGGCCATACCCGATTCCAAACTACTTCCTTTGAGTCATGGGAAGCGTAACTGTTGTTTCATAGCTAATCCACATTAGCTCAACACTTTGCCCTCCTAAGCCCTCTCCCCAAACACGATCCTTCAGATTTGCCCATGCTAGACCTTATCCTCCCCCTCTGCCAAAGTGACCCAGTTGTGATTCCCTTGCATCTCTCTCTCTCTTTCTCTCTCTCTCTCTCTCTGTCTCTCTCTTTCTGTCTCTCTCTCTTTCTGTCTCTTTTTCTCTCTCTCTCTGTCTCTGTTTCTCTCTCTCTCTCTCTCTCTCTCTCTCTCTCTCTCTCTTTCTCTTGTCTTAGCTCAGATTAATGGCTGCTGATGAGCCAGGGTTCTAACTCCTGCTGAATCCCACTCTACGTCTCAGTATAACTTCCTCCTGTGCCACCACAGCATTATAATACCCTAATAATCCTGCTGATGCTCACCTGCCTTCAGCATGCTTTTAAGTTATTCATTTATTTTTTTATACTTTATTTTTTTTTTAAGTCCAACTTTGGCAAAACACTAAATCATATTGATCCTTAACTTGCCTAGGCTTGCCTTGATCTTTTCAAGTGCATCAACAAATCATTGTGAGGATGTGTTTCCTGGTGAACTTCAGAGAAGAGGGCTATTTGCAGTTTTTTTTGTCTTCCCCTCCCTCATTTGTTCTTTTATGTGGTTTCCACATAATCGACTAGTCTATTTTGCTCCACTCCTACCACTTCTTCAGCAAGACCTCTCCCCCCACTGTTCTCACCCCTCCCCTATTCAGCCCAGCTGCCTGTGGAGTTGGACGGGCTCCAGGAGTAGGCAGATGGCTCTGTAATTAGAAGTGCATCTCTCCATTCCCATCCCACTTCTCCCTGTTAAATCAAATTACAGGCAAAAGAGAAATATCGCTTTGCTGGATTTGTATTCTCCGCTGGCCCGAGACCCACCCGCCCGCTGGCGCCCCCCTCCCTCCCAAACACTCGCTCATGTATGCGCACATACAAACAAACATACAAATCATACATGTTAAAACATGTTTGTTGGATGGAGGTATGCCTCACGGCTTCTGAATTCACATGAATTACCGATCTATTCGGTTCCATTTTAGGCTTCCTATATTAGTCCCATTCATTGATATAATAGTTTGCATTATTACCAAGTACTATTTCACCGTTACGGAATATGTCATAACCTAGAGTGCCTGGTTTGATTTGGACTCGATCGTAGTGATGGTGCACCCTGTAGTTGTCCTCCCTCTCCTTTTTTGGCTCATGGGAGTGCAAGAGGAAGCGCCGACTGTGCCATGAGATGGCCGTGGCGCATTTCCCAGCATGCTCTGTTCTCTGCCTCTGCCACTTTATCTGAGGGGGCACTATGGAAACACGCGTACACGTCATTTGTACCAAAAATCGCAAACTATTGCCAGCAACATGGGCTCCATACCAGTTGTACATTCATGTGCAACCTTTCTTTTGCTTGTTACTATGAATGCCATGTTTCTTAATGTCCTTCGTTTTCCTTGTTTGTAAATGCAGGTTTATGCTGCCACCTCTGGTGATGACTATATTCGTGACAGTGCCGCTTACCCGGGCTCCAAACCTGGCTCTGTGTACCCAGGATCTTTTTACATGCAAGGTGTGTACACGGGGAGTTAAAGAATCATTGGCACATCCAAAATTCCCAGCCGTAGTGTGATGCTTATATTAATGTGTACATATTTTCTTCACACAGGCTTGTTTGCAAACAGATTAGTAGTGACTAAGCAATTATCTTGTTGTTTTGTTTGTTTGATTTGAAATTAGAAGCATACACAAAGACAAATGTTTCTGTGGATGGCACGTCCACGCAAGTTCTTGTACTGATTGGTATTGATCCCTCCCATCTGCCTTTGTGTTCGCAGAAGGCCTACACTCATCTTCGGATCCCTGGGCCCCTTCCGGATCCTTAGGCCAGTCAGGATACACGGCTATGCTGGCGAATTCGCCACACATAAATCAACCAGCCTCCTTTTCGGCGATAAACCCACAAGACAGGATGGTATGTCTTGTGAAGGTCTTGGAGAAGGGTCTAAATTGTGGTTTGTTTATGAAGCTCTGGTCACGGTGTTTTTTTCTTCCTTTGCTGCTCAGAACTATCCTTTGCATGGAGCAGACGTCAATGGTTTCCATTCAGGCTCTGCAGCCTATAGCCACACATCCTCCATTAATGGATCAGACAGCATTTTGGGTAAATGACCTTTGCTGTTTTTTAATTAAATGTCCTCTACGTTGTGTAATGTGCTTGTAATTGGGTTTAGATCAGATCTTGAAGTTGATTCTTCTTGTAAAATCATTTTCGGATGAGTCTGAACTGTAATTTAGAGGATATTGGCCTTCAATCTTTCATTAAGACTATGAATGGTCATTTTTAGAAGTTAGCAAATTGAGCTGACATTGACATAATGAATGAAGCTAATGAGCTCTCTTATTCTCTCCAACAGCCAGTAGAGGTACAGTCGCAAGCAGCTCAGGTGACGAGATTGGAAAAGCTCTTGCTTCGGTGAGTGAGCTTTCATTAATCACCATGAAGGATCATTTGGCCATGTGAAGTCCAGGACAAATAGCATTATTCAGACTTTTAGCAATAATCGGAGGACCAAAGAGCTATCCCACTTATTTGTGTTTTATGTGTGTTTGAATGACAGATCTACCCTTCGGACCACAACAGCAACAACTTCTCTTCCACTCCTTCCACTCCTGTGGGCTCTCCTCAAGGCATTGCAAGTAAGTCAGATATGCTGTCTTATTCTGTCAACGATAGATCCGGTTCATTAGATCGGCTTGTGTTGAAAGGTGCCAAGACAAATACGCAGAGGAAGAAGGCTAAAGTATCATAAATCATTCCCTTTAGATTGATGGGGTTTTGTGTAGATCGAGACGTAAATGTGAAGCTCTAGAGCGCCATCTGCTGCTGTCTTAGTGGCTTGTTTCATGCTCAGACTTTAAATCATGTTCCCCTCAGCAGGTGCAACACAGTGGTCGAGAGCTTCTGGCCAGGCTGCTCTGTCTCCTAATTATGAAGGTGGACTACATGCACTGGTAAGGTTATCAACTTTTCAACATTAATGGGATTAAAGAGGCAGTTTACTCAAAACTGAAAATTCTGTCTTGAAATGTTCAAACTTGGCATGAGACAATAACCGGTTTCAAGGTTTACTGCCATTTAGAAAAGTCAAGGTTTTAAAACTGCCAATGTTTTTTTTTTTTGTACATATTTTTCATAACTTTATTAAGGTTTTAGGGCAAAAAAATGTCCAGCAGAAAAGGACCTCCACATCAAACGCTACTGGTCCAAAATATTTTAAAAGTTTCTTAAAATAAAACATGTTGTGTTCAAAGGGGAAAAAGTTGTTGTTTTTTACACAGACATTTAAAAAAAACTTATTTTGAAGCAGTAATCTAACCCTTACCCTACCCAAGGTTATAATACTGTCAGAATCCTATACTGATTCACTCATTCAAAAATGTTTTGGTTTTCTATTTTATATACATTTTATTGATTTATTTATTTTTTGTTTCTTTGTTTGTTTGACATGGACATCACAATAAGTGTTTTAGTAGATTTGCTAATTCTCAGCACTCAAGCTTGACGTACAATGAAAATATAATAGATGCATTTACACAACATAATAATTCTTTACATGAAATTGCTGTAAGGCAAGCACAGGCAGCCTGCACAAACAAATAAATAGTACACTATTTGTGCAAACACTGCTGATTTGTTTTTAACCACTTTTTAAGAACACTACTAAATTATTTATATTACTTTTTAATTTTATGCTAGCGGGTAATTTAACCGATAAACTACATTAGTAATCTCATGGATATTTAAACAACATTGACATTTTTGCCTTGCTTTTTATGCAATTGTGATGGTCCACAAACAATACTGCGCTAATTCTATGAATTACTTTTTCAGAAATTACGTTTTTAATTAATTTTATTGAATTTTCCAACCTTATTTAGAATAGTGATCCTTATTTTAATAACATTACTTATCGATTTTGTACATAGATCTTGCACATTCACTTGTTTTGTCACTAGTCTAAAGCGTTATTATTTGGTAACACCTTTAGAACAAAGTTCCATAAGTTAATTTTAGCTAATGTATTTACTAACATTAACTAAGTATTAATCATTTGTAAAGCATTTATTAATCATAGTTTAACATTAATTAATGCATTGTTAAAATCCAAAGTTGTGCTTGTTAACATTAATGCACCATGAGTTAACAAACCAATGTTATTTAACTTAATTAACATTAACTATTGTGAACAAAGATGAATAAATACCGTAATAAATGTGTTCCTAATAGTTTGTTCATGTTAGTAAGTACATTAACTAATAGACCTTTAATTTAAAGTGTGACTTGTTATTTTACTATCCAAAATCAAAACACTGGAGACCTTACTACAAAACAACTGAAAAACACCCATGCCTATGAGTGCTTATTGAGGTGGTTCCAAGATACAGGTTTCATTTTATATTGCCAATAATAAATGGCAAGCGTTTGTGCACTGTTGAAATGTAAATCTGTATTGTTATTTTTAGAACAGGATATAACTTCTGTAGCTTCCCCTTTTTAAAAATACCATACCATTCCACAGCAAAACAAAATGGAAGACCGACTGGAAGAGGCCATTCACGTCCTCCGGAGTCATGCGGTGGGTCAAGCACCAGGAATTCCTGGAGCCCACGCTGACATGCACGGCCTGCTGAGTGCCGTCTCCACATCCAGCGCATCCATGGGCAGCATCCCACAGGCTTATTCCAATGCAGGACTGCCCCTCAGCAACAGACACCCTGCCATGGTCAGTAGTATTGTCCAAAAGGTTTCTGAAAAATATAGATTTTGTTTTTTATGTTGTTGTCTCCATTTTGGCCAAAACAATATTTTGTTTCAGCAAAGAAATTGCAATCAGGGCATCCGAAATAATCATGTTACAGCATGTTCAGGATTATAGTATAGCAGCACCAAAGTTCATGATTAGTCAAGTCATTGCCAGAGATGGGAGGTAACCACCTCATTACTGTACTTAAGTCGATTTATCTGGTGTCAGTACTTTACTTCACTATTTATTTATTCTTTTACAAATTTTTGCTTTCACTCCATACATTTTTACATAAATATCTGTACTTTCTACTACATTTTTAAATCCGGCTCGTTACTTTTGTTTTCATGCGTTTAGTGGCGCAATCTATATTACACGGTAGTAATCGGATCACAGGTCAAGAGAGACACATTCTAGTCTGACAATATGCCATGTAAATGTTAGGGGTCTTTTGTCCACTTTTGATCATAAGGCATGACATTTCTATAATCTGTAATATATTACCACGAAAAAAAGAGCTTTTTTTGCAAAAGATTTTTACATTTAGTACTAAAACAATCGAAAATTTTATGCATTAAGATTTATTTCCTTTATTTCTGATGAGTTCATATTTCCCAATACAGAATTTACTCTGTTTAACAGTTGTTGTTTGTTTTTTAAAATAGGCATATTAATCTTCAGTTATTTTTTTAACAAATGTTTTAAAAAAAGTAACTATACTGGGCAATTTATGAATAGAAATATGATACAAAAGGTCCAAAATTTATCACGTGCATGATGTTTTATTCATGTTTTACATATCTGTAGGTTGTAGTCACGCCTGTGTATGTAGCTTTTCGCATAGAATAAACGTATTAACAGAAATAATGTTTATCCATTAAATAAAATATCCACATTACCCTGAAAAAAAAAACACTGAAATAAGGGGTTATGTATGAGAGCTGCTCATGAAGCTAGTGAAAATAAAACATGTATTAGTAATGGGTATTTTTTACTTAAGTACATTTTTGTAGGCCGTACTTTACTTTTACTTGAGTACAAAAGGGTAATCAGTACTTCAACTTTTACCAGAGTTGTTTTAAACATGAGTATCTGTACTTCTACTTGAGTAAAGGATTCGTGTTCTTTTGCCATCTCTGGTCATTGCAGAGTTCAACCATAATAGAGTGAAAGTTTCTAATTTGAATGCGTTTTAAGGCCTGTGGCTGTGTAAGCATTTCAAGAGAGTTTAAATTATTTGGGCACAAATTGATTATTCATTTTGATAACAGACTACTGTTTCACTCCCCAAAAAACCATGAAGCACTCTTTATTTAATTTATGTCTTTGCGCTGTTTATTTTATCTTATGTTGGACTCCCCTATAAAATCCTTATTTCCTACAAATAGAGTTATTATAGTCATATGCTGAATTTGTGTTCATATCGCATAAAAATATATTACAATGTCAGATTTGTCCAGTATTGTGCAACCCTACTGTTAGCAGCCACTAATAACTAGCTTCAGCTTCAAACTAGCTTCTGAAACCCTAGTTTAGAGCTGTATGTGGTATTATGCAACAAAACAATAACAATGCACCTGTGGGTATTGATATGTGCTAATTACTCTCCCGTGTTGCACTTTTCTGCAGGCTGGAAGCCATCATGACGACCATGCCTGCCTTCCTCCCAGCAGCACCCTGTTGCAGTCGGCTCATGCTTCAGGCACCCCACAGCCTGGAGGAGCACCAGAGGCTTTTAACAGTGAGCAGCCATTACACTTTCTCTTTTAGAACCAACCAAACGTGTAAACAACAGATGCAATTGCTGAGGATTGTGAGCGAAATTGCTAATAACAGTATCTTGTCTCCTAGCTTCAGGTTTGCCCGGAGGCTTGGCCCACGCCACGCATTCGTCAAACAAGTCTGATATTAAGAGGGAGGAAAAGGAGGATGATGAGAACTCTTCTGTGGCTGACAAGTCTGAGGAAGAGAAGAAGGAAAGCAAACCTCGCACCAGACCAAGGTACTAAATGTTTACTAGGGTTGCCGTTGAACAGCTGAATGTAGGTGTGTGCGATATTGATGGAAAAAAAAATTTCTTATCAAATAAATTTGCTGAAGGTTTTATTTTGCTAGTCTTGATTTGGTTCAATATGGATGACTTGCTCAGACATGCATAAATGTCCTGCTTTGTCTGTTTTTGTTGGCAAAGCAACAATATTGTGTCTTAAGACGCAACATTTAGACTTTTCTGTAACTTTATTTAGTTGTGTTAAATTCAAATCATATTTGCGCTGTATATACAGTTGCAATCAGAATTATTAAAGCCCCTGAATTATTAGCCCCCGTTAATTTTTTCCCCTAGATTTTCAACACATTTCTTAACAAAATAATTTTAAAAACTCATTTCTACTAACTGATTTATTTTATCTTTGCCCTGATGACAGTAAATTAATTTTTGACTAGATCTTTTCAAGACACTAGTTATCAGCTTAAAGTGACATTTAAAGGCTTAACTAGGCTAATTAGAATAACTAGGCAAATTATTGTATAACGATGGTTTGTTCTGTAGACTATCGAAAATTTAGCTTAAAGGGGCTAATAATTTTGACCTTAAAATTGTTCTTAAAAAAATAAAATCTGCTTTTATTCTAGCCAAAATAAAACAAATGTGACTTTCTCCAGAAGAAAAAATATTATCAGACATACTGTAAAAAATTCCTTGCTCTGTTAAGGATCATTTGGGAAATATTTATAAAAGGAAAAAAGAATTCAAAGGGGCTTTAATAATTTTGACTGCAACTGTAGGAGTACTAAAGGCAAAAAAGAAAGCAGAATATAAAATAAACATTTAACAAATAAAAGCTATAAAACAGTGATCAAGGAGTACAGACTTAAACACAGAAATGGAAGGGGAAAGTCTAATGTGAATTAGTAGTGTTCCAGAGTTTAGGACAAGCAACTGCAAACGCTCAATCACTCTGTTTTTTTTAAAGCGTGTTGTAGGCATCATAAGAGCTCAATGAACGAGAGGGGGTATACGGACAGAGCAAGTCATAAAGGTACTGAGGAGCAAGATTGACTACTTTGGTTACCCATTAAATACAGAATTGATTTTAAAATCTGATTATTTGTTTACAGTGAAGTGCAGCTAAAATAAGAGTTACCGACTCATACTTGTGCCAGAAAGAAGTCTAGCAGCTGCATTTTGGACCAGCTGCAGACAAGAGAGAGAAGATTGAGAAATACCATAATAGAGAGGGTTACAGTATTCCAGACAAGCTATGAAGGCATGAATCACCGTTTGAAAATTTCTCCAGAATAAAAATGGCTTGATTTTTAGATCATTGTCTGAGGTGGTAAAATCAGGATTTTACGACAGTACTGATCTGTTTGTCAAATTTTAAGTTTATCAAACATAACACAGAGATTTCTTTAACAGTGGGTAATATGTGGGGCCAAAGTGCCCAAAATGACATTTAACAGAGAATTTACTTTGTGCCCAAATACAATTACTTCAGTTTTATTGTTCAAATTTGTAAAAGAATTGCATGAGAGCCGAAGTTTAAACTCCAACATAATCTATTTGTTAGAGAGACTTTTAGCTAGTATTTTGTTAAATTGACAATTACACTACTGCTGTAGAAGAATATCGCACACCCCACTAGGCTCAACCTTATGAGTTTGACACTGCATTGTCTTAATTTGATCTCGTATAACAAATTTCTGTAAATTTCTGTTTTTTTAATTTGAATAATTCTTCACATTGGGCCAGGCCTGATTTCAGAGTGCTTGGGCATGCCCAACACAATAAAATACCATGTTTTGTAGTGTTCTTCATTCCCCTTTCCCAAACTCTCACATTGTTTTCAGAAAGGAGGTGTTTTCCCAAGTCCTTTCAGGTGTTTCAGACCAGGGAGAAGAGTAAGTCTATCTCCCACCATAGAGTGCATGTTTGTGAAAGACTCCAAATACTCACTTGATCGTATTAAATCTTTATAAGGCTGAATGTTATTGTGTATAAATGAATGGCATGTTTATTCCATGGCCTTTTAGATTTTAATTGAATGCAAACTTGCTTTATTCTTTAATATCTAATTCATGATCATATGTGTGTACTGTGTGTAGGGGGGCACTGACAGCACATTTTACAAAATCAGATATTTGTCAGTGATGCTTCCCCCAGAAATTGTGTAGTTGTTAAATGCGCTACTGGTAACTGAACACTAGCAAACCAACTGTGTATTTTAAGAACAATTTAATAATTTAGGGCCATTGCTAGTTTTTAAACCACATTGGATGAATAGCGTTAGGAGCACCATCTAGTGATTGTGTGAGGAATTCTCCCGAGCCTACAGTTCTCTTTAGATTTTATTCAAGTAAATTAATGCTCAAATATTTCCTGATGTAAAGTACTACAGTGATTTCATTAGGAAAAAAATAACATCAGCAATATCCTCTGCACTTTTTCCCTTGTCTAATTACATGCTTGATATGTAATATTTTGTTACATAAAATTGCTCTACAAAACTAATTTCATGTTTATGTTTGTATTTGATCAAAATATATTAAGGAGAAAACAAATGATCAGGTTTTCTGACTGGGGCTGTAAAGATCCTCATAATAATTCATTTATGCAACAACTTTGCTGATAATATGCTTAACACTTGAGCTGTCTCCTAAATTTCCACCTTTAGCCTTATAGCCTTTAGCCTTATAATCCCAGATTGCACCCAATAACAAGTGTACAACCAATGTATACTCAATGATTAGTGAATACCCATAATGCACCTTTAAAATCAATTTATTTACTTGTTAAATTAACATTTGTACTCATGAGAGAAATTAAGATATTTAGCTTCACCTACTAATAAACACATTAGGTGACAATCACAGGGTCTAAACAAGAACCTCTGGTGTGCTCATATAGTGGTGTGCTTAAATTCACTCAAACATTTTCATTTACTCCTTTAAGTGGACTAATGTAGGAAACTGTGAATGAAGGTATAGGGTGCGATTTAAGATACAGCCCTGGACTACTAATCCGATGTCAGTTTTAAACGCATTATTTCTCTCCACAGTCTAAATGAAGATGATGATGATGAGGATTTGCCGGCAGAGGTGAAGGTTGAGCGGGAGAAGGAGCGGCGGGTGGCCAACAACGCACGAGAGCGACTTCGTGTTCGGGACATCAACGAGGCCTTCAAAGAGCTGGGCCGCATGTGCCAGCTGCACCTGAGCAACGATAAACCCCAGACCAAATTGCTCATCCTGCACCAGGCCGTCAATGTCATACTAAACCTAGAGCAGCAAGTCCGCGGTGTGTGATTGTGCTTGATTTAAAGACGACATAATATAGCATTTGTTGTGCGCTGAATGTTAATGAATCTATTACAGAACGCAACCTGAACCCTAAAGCGGCGTGTCTGAAACGGCGTGAGGAGGAGAAGGTGTCCGGGGTGGTTGGAGACACCCAGATGCAACTGTCTGGACCACATCCGGGCCTGGGAGGTGATGGACGCAACTCCGTCAGTCACATGTGATCCTGTGGTACGTTACCAAGAAGTTCATACGTTTCTACTAATTGTTAATCCAGTAAATGGTACACAACAGCTAACAGAACATTGTAGGAGGCCTTCACTTTTGATGCGCATTTGGGGTTTGTTTAACTTCAGAGATCAATTTGTTTGCTTCATTATATGAGCTAATGTCTGTCATTTAGTACGATTGCATTCACATCATGTATAAATTGATCATTTTTATTTATACATCTACTGTGACTGCATATAATTTCTAATATATATAATATTTCTAATGGATCTATTTCTGATATACATCTAATATATTGAACTGTTTAAAGATGTTTCAATTTATTTTTTTGTTATCTGCTTTGATCAAAATTATTTCATACAAAACTGAAAATTCTGTTATTAATTACTCAATAACATGTCGTTCCAATCCCATGAGACCTTTGTTTATCTTTAGAACGCAAAGATATTTTGGATTAAATCTGAGAGCTCCATCATTCTCCACAGGCAGCAAGATGAGCTCCTGAGATGTTCAAAGTCCAGTAGTTCAGCTAATCATACGAAGCTCCAAGAACATTTTGTGTGCCAAAAAACAAACAAACCCGTAAATATGACTGAGTGTTTACTAATGTCCTCTCTCCCACGTCAGGTCAGGGTGCGTGTATACTCCAGTCAGTGTGATCTATTGCCATCAGAGTCAACAGCGCAACACGAAAGTGTCTTATTTCTCTTAGTTAACAAGCACTCTGATCAGATATAAAAAAGACATACAGTTTTGTTTTGTTTTTTGTTGCACAAAAGTGTGTTTACTATTGATCCACTAAAGTCACTTAAAATGTATTGATAATGTGCTTGGTTCCTTTTCTGAACTTTGAACATTTTGAATTCGTTGCTGTCTGTAGAGAATAAAGAAGCACTTGAATTTCCTTCAACACTTGCATCTTTATTATATGTCAAAGTAAGGGTTATTTTAGTTTGCTTATACATTTAGAATTTTTTTTTAATCGATTGGCTGACAATTGTTCCTGTTTTTGTCAACAACCAGCTTGGTTTTGATACATTTTATAGAACTTTTGACTGCAATGTAGTAATACATTACTACAGCATATAGCACTATACAAATAAACTTGAATTGAAAATAATACATTTTAAAAAGTCTTTTACTATTTAATTTTTAGATATGTACATTGTAAAACATGACTAAAATGCTGTGATATGCATAGACTGTAAAATATATGGACGTAGTATCTTTGACGTCGCCCATAGGTTTCTGAACACTGCAAAAGAAGCTACAAGTAGGCCATTTTGTTTGCACATCATCGCACCCACAGCAGGATACCAAACAAGGGCAAGAAGCAGAGAGTGAGGGAGCTACAGACACCTGTTGACATTTTGCTTGGACCTGGCTTAGACAGACTTTACTTTGGGAGAACGTTTCTCCCAATACTTTATTACTAATATCTCTCAATACTTTAATACTAATACTTAATTACCTGCGACTCGTTTGTGTTCTGACGACATGTGTCCATAGGGAGCCAGGACTAGTGGAATTTCGATGAATTGCAGTTTCAGTTACTTCCGTATTGGCTTCCTGAGAGAGAGCGGGATTTTGCCGCTTAGTGATATGACATTACTTTTTCAGTGTGTTCAGGACATAAAATGAAGTTATTCTGGGTGATTTGGAAAAACAGATATGTAAACTTTAAGTCATTGTTTTGTAAAGTGAATGAAAAAATAATAAAGATTGGTGGAAAAGTTGGCACCAATAGCCTAGTGGTTAAGGCCCAATTCCAATTCTATACCCCTACCCTTTCCCGTTGGCCCTTGAAACAGAGTGTAAAGGGGAAGGGCTTCAAAATTTACCCTTAAGAAATGGGACACCACTACAACCCCTGCTCACGTCATGATATGTCATTGCAATTTATTGCTTCGTATGAGATCAATGATCGTATTGCGTTATTTTGGTGTATTTATCTTCAGGAAATCACTGAAGGCATATTTCATGTTATCATAATGATCTAATGTGGCAATAAGATTGTAACTATACTGTGCATTTACACCATGGCCATATTCATTTATGTAAACACACGAAAACAACATTAACATTTATACCAGACAGTGTAAAAACCTCATTCTCAGTCACTAGACAATTCTGACAGACAAGTCGAGTGTCATGGAGTGAAAGTATGTTGTGGTACTGCTATACAGGAGTTATAATAAGGGATTATAGATAGCGAAGTTTAGCTGATTTTATTTTAGCATTTTTAAAGCATGACGGTAAACACAAATTCTGTTATGAGTGTATTAAAACATAAGCTTGTTTGTTGTCTATTCTTAATGACAAAAAACCCCCCACTTATTTGTGCATCTACTTCCATGCAGCCATTTTGCCGTTTTAGATGTATTCTGGAAAATTTTCTTACCCTTTGGTTTAGAGTGTGGTCCTGAAAAATCTGTTTCAAGGGGTATTTAGCTCTTCTCTTAAGGGGTAGAATTGGAATTGGGCATAAGTGCGCCGACATATAGCACAATGGTGCTCACGGCGACCCCAGTTTGATTTCTGGCTCAAGGTCCTATGCCGATTCTACCCCTCTCTGTTTCCAATGCTATCCTGTCTGTTCTCCATTATCCTATCCCCCTAAAGGTGGAAAAATCCCTTAAATAATAATAATAAAAAAAAAGATTGGTGCAAAGCTGTGCTGTATTTGCAGTGTACTTAAAGTGTTTTCTAATCTATATGTATAGTCTAATAAACTAATCAATATGAAACCCATAAACCCTGTTTTATTTCCTATTGTAGGTAATTCAATTACTGCAAAAGATTTGTAATAAATTTAGTGAACAATAACACAGAATGAAGTTTTTCCATTATGTTTTCTATCTTTAGATCCGGTGAAATTTCTTGGGGCTCCTGGAAGAAGTGACCTTGAATCTCTTCCACCGTTCTCATCCTCTCTGTATGCATATATTGACTCTGAAAGCATATCATCCAAGAAATAAAGAGATGCACCCTCCAAACCCTTTTGGACGCAAGAACCGACCCGCCAAAACTGACAGCAAAATTTGTCCGTGATCACTCCAGACCACAGTTACCAGCACAAATGTGAAGAACTCTTTGTCAAGTCGTTTTTGTATTTTTCTGCTTCCCAAAACTGATGGATCATAGGAATAGAGACGTTCCGACCACAACTGACATTTTTTTTCAACTGCAGAGAGTTTTGATCGAGAGACGAGACAAACGTCAATTTAATCATGGATTTGTGCCTAATTGTTACATTTTATATAAGATGCAAACTGCTTACTTGTGTGGAACAAACGTTTGGGAGTTGCTTGTATATGAGCAAGACTTTTTTTTTTTTTTTTTAAATGTGGTTTGTCATTCCCTACTGAAAGGTACAGTCTTACGTGCGTTGTGTAACCAAACCCCACAAGAAGTGGGGGTGAACCTGTGGTGCTTTTGAGGACAACTTTTCTCAGAATGCCTCTGTACAGTGGGCCAGGGCTCTTCCGGAAAGGAGGAAAAAAAGCACATGGGCCATCGCAGCTCTCCAGACTGTTTCATTTACTTGGAAACACGATGCATCATCAGCTCTCACGATGCCATTGACTAGTTCAGCCAATCGGAAGAAACTGCATCATAAAGGAGCATGAGCTTCTAGCAAACTATGACAAAAACACTTGGATTTGGTTGCATTTCCAAGCACAGAATTGCCAAGTTGACCTTTCACATCTTTCCTTTCATAAGCCCTTTTTTGTTCACCAGGATACATTCAATCACTCGCTCGCATCAACTCATTGTTGCCAAAAGTCTGAAAGCGTACACATGTCCACCTCACACATATGTAATGGATGTTATTTCGATTTGAGAAAAAAAATGTAAGAATATATATAAATATATATTTTTGTTAGTCTATACATTGTAGATTTCTAAATAACAAAAACATATTAGTTTGAAGTGTAGAGTCTATAGCGCAAGTGAACGCTTGGAGGCGTGCCGTACAATTTCAAAAAGACCCTGCGTATATTTTCAGAAACGCAAGGTATGGGCGAGGCGATCCATTTGTAATTTTATGCCCCCCCCCCGATAGCTCTATGCTTATAATGAAATAAGATATTTGATGATGGTTTTTGAGGGCTTAAAGCCTCGTGATGGTTTCCTGATATCAGGGAACTGTCTGTCACTAGAAGTGTTCTTAGGCAATGGTGCAGTGCGCAAGCAACGTTTGCCATCATGTCTCGCAAATGCACATAATGCAACCTGTTTGAATGTAATATTCAAATGTACACGCTCTCACATCTCCTTCAGACTGGCTTACTGTGAGTTTAGTTGATCATATTGTCATTTCAAGGTGTACGTCTTAACCCGTTTTTTTTGTCATGTGTGTGTGTGAGATGATGTTCCCGAATGATTTGAATTATGTATGTAGGGAAAAAAAATGGTGTTATAACCTGTGTAATTGTCAATGTCCACAATGGATATGATTTCTGAGTAATAACATTTCACCGTAAGGGGGGATACTGAACTTAGGTTGTCCTAAAGTATAATGGAAACATAATATCAATTCTTGGTAAAGATAAAAAAAAAAAGTTGTTGAACATTTATATATTGTGGCCTTCTTATTCTCAAGACTGTCATTTTTGAGAGTGATGCCTTGTCAGTGCCTAAACTTACTTTCATTGTAAACTTGACCATTTGTTTTATTATTTCAAAATGCAAAAATGGCTCATCCATCTTTTTGGTTTTGCTTTGTTTCTTTCTGGAAGCATCTGTGTAGTATTTAATCTGCAAGTTAGAAACATTGTAGTTTTTCATCATTATTATGCTGTGTGTGTGTGTGTGCGCACCTTTTTGGCAATTTTATGATTCTCGTTCCTGTCATCTTTGGCTCAACTAGGTTGGAATTTGATTTTTGCTTTCAAGACGCTTTGTGTCCTGTGATCTGTGAAGCACACGAAAAAAAATAAAGGATATTCATTGATTCCGTAGATGGGACTGGAAACACTAGACTGTTATAAGTAATTGTTATTTAATCCAGCCATCTCAGTTGTGGGTTCATTTTAAAAGTATCGATAAAATATTTCAATGCTGGACTTTTGTTTTGACCCCTTTGCTTTATGTGTTAGATGCTGGAGAAGGATTGTCTTGTCATCTAGTATTTTCCTGTCTGAAATTACGTTTTTTTTTTTGTTTTTTTTTACCCCTGAAGCATTTACTCTTGAATGTCCAACGAAGTAAAACATTTTGAATGAATTGTTGTGCGCCAAAATAAGATTGCTGCCCACGATTTCCATCAGAATTAAGATGTGTGTGAATTTTACAGAACCTGGTGTCTTGCAGTTGCAGTAGGGACATGAACAATACTGCTGTTGTGTCTTCAGAGTGCCTCCGGTTTTTTTGTCATTATTATTATTATTATTATTATTTTGTCTTTGTTTTTATAAATATATATATAAAGTAGGTATTGAGAACTGTCCTGTATATAACAGTAATGTAGCAATAAATGTGCCATTTTTAATAACAGAATTATACATTTTTTTCAATGTCTTGCTTTTGATCTTGTATACCTTCAAATGAGTTAAATAAAAGAAAACATTGTAATAAAAGTCTTACCAGTTGGTGTCTTTTCAGAGAAATGAGTAAAGAGAAAATCTTGACCGTCTCTTCCACGCCAACGTAAATTAACGGCTCATTTAACAAACCGTTTGTATGTTCGCGCTCTTTTTGGATGGTAGATTTTGATTGGCTGTACGTTTGTCCGTTCATCGTCTGGAAAAAAAAAGTTAAATATTTTTTTCTCTTTGAAAATAGTGCATTAATACTAATTCCTAAAACAAAACTGGCAATATTCAACAATTTCATAACAATTTGCAAACTGATTATTTCAGAAGTGCTTACAGCCCAGATCCCATTTTATTACAAGTGGTTTTCAACTTAATAAATACCCTGTGTATTTAATGGTACTTGTTAATAAAGTAAGCATGTTATCATTTTCAAAGCTTGTTAGAAACTGTACTTACAGGCGGTCTTAAATCCTGTGGATTAAGCAATAAAATCTCTACGGTTCCAGAATTTTCTATCAGGCTAATAACGGGCAGCCTGGGTCCTGAAACAGCCATTTGAGTTTGTTTACTTTCCGAACGGAGGAGGGAGAAGCTGAGTGAGTGCCAAGATGCAGAAGTTAACAAAGCTGATCGGTCCAAAATACGTCAAAATGGCCAGAATCTGGTAAATTAGTGCTTGATTTATGAACAGTCCAACAGCATGTTAACCAAAAAATCGCCCGCTCTTCTGACACGTACAATTATGAAACGTCATAACTATTTACTACAAATTATTATTTTAATACGTTTGTACTTTGCAATCTATGATTCCCACTATTGTTGAATGGGGTGCAGCTGGTGCAGTGGCTGTTGTCCATTTTACAGACTGGCAGTTGATTCTGAATTATGTTTATCTTGATCGAGGCAAATTCAAGAAGGACTGATAGTTATCATACCCTAAATATTGGAACTACAGAAAGCAAGTGCTGTACATTCCTAAATAATTAGTAAAGCTGATGGCTTTTGTAGCCAGTAGGGGGCGCTGGTGATGCAACAGAAACCCATAACATTGTACAGGACTCTTATCTGTAATTTTAAAAGGAAAATTCACCCCCAAATGAAAATGTACTCAGTACACTGTTTTTTCTTCTCTTTAACAAAAATTATATATATATATATATATATTATATATATATATATA